AAGTTATCTTTGCTTAAAGTTTCAAAAAAATTTACTTAGAAAAAATTTGCTTGATTTCTATTGACTCAACACCATATGATAATTTTGCTGTGATTCTTAATGCCGGCCTAAATCCGATGAAACCCGACCCATAATTCGGAGCAGATCTCTTGAATTTTGGTTGCGTCGCTAATCTTGTTAAATTTAAATTTATCAACCACTGAGAATCGTGAAACAATGGCCAATCAAATTAACATGCCTTGTACTAGTCAATCCTGAGACGTTGTGTAATGATTTATAACCCTTTTCTGGAAATACACACAAAGGTGGGTTTGCGTTTGCTATCATCAACATGCGTAAAAACTTAAAAGGAAGCGTTCCCTTCGAATTTATTTATTCGGAAGCGGAATCCAGTAAGTATACATTGATGGTTATTATCATTATATAGTTTAGAAGGTTTAATTAAAATTCGAATCCGCTAAAAGGCTCCGAAGAAGAGCTAATTGAAAAGCCTATTCCCTATTCAAGAGTTTCTTACCCAGGTACGCAGTGAGTTGTTTTATCTTATTATTTTTATACTTCTACCATTATATTTGGAAATAAGAACTCTAAATTAATGGACATGAATTGTCGACTAATTTTATAATAGATAATAACAATGCGGGAATATATTTTATGTCAAGTGAAGAGTGTGTGAATAGTGATCAAAGCGTGACATCTAATCCATCTTACTTTAGTGTTGAGAGTGATAACAGTGATCCATCTTACTTTAGTGTTGAAAGTGATAACAGTACCATTGGAAGTGTTGGATCTCCTGAATCTAGTGAATCATCGCAAATTGATTTAGGACGAGATGAAGTTTCTCTAGGTGAGCTATTAACATTGAAAAAATAACGTTTGTGATTAGTAGTGAATTTATTAAATAAATTAAACTATCCGATACAATTTAGGACAAGATTTTGATGATTTCCAAAGTGAGTCAATTCTAATGTTACTTAAGATCGTATAAATTAAGATTGACATTTTAATACCTGAATTGCAAGGTGCCCCACAATCGGAAGACAATGATATCTATAAGTCATTACCGAATGGATTAACAAACAATAAATTTTCAACATTATCCACGATTTATGACAAATTTTATTTCGATGATGTAAATTTAACAGAAATAGGAAATTCAGATCTATTCTATTGTACAAATCCTGGCTGTCATAAAGCTTTTGCTTGCGAAGAGGATCTGCGAAATCATCTGCTTTCACAATATAATCCTGTAATGAATCGAAGTGCGACATATCAGCAACAATCGGAGGTGAACACGGATCCGAAACAACAATGCCATTCCAATATGGTGAATATAGAAGCGAATGAATTAAACTCATATGAAAGGTTGGAGAGCAGTAAATATAGAAGAAATGATAGAAAGAAAGATTCCTACCATGAACAACAAAGTAAAATAAATTTTTGGGCGAAAAATAATCGTAGAAATAACCATATAAATAACCTAAATATCACGCGGCCACTTATTTGTGATAAACCTCAACATGAATATTTCGCTTCGGGAAGTTATTCAAATAGATTTAATTTCCGCAATCATTCAAAGCCTTCACAGGATAATGATAATAGGCACTTAAATTTTGGAAGGCAGAAATACAAACATTATTTCTCTTATAAGAATGTTATGAGAAACCACTTAAACCATTTTAAACCGACTATACATGATGAACAAAGACGTGGAAGGAAGGAGTTTACCACTAGACACATAAATCGTTCTGATTTAACACGTTATATACACGAAACACATGGATATGAACAGAAATTTAGGGCTAAAAAGGAACTGAAGAATCAAGCAACCATTTTTAGTCAAAAAGAAATTTCTTTAGTATCATATAAATGCAAAGAACATAGGTTTAAACAACGTTTTAAATGCAAGATTGACCGAAGTATTCCTCTTATCAAGAATCATTCACATATCTGCAAGGTCTATAATGAACGTTTTATGCAAGATGTCAGTGTGTTTTATTTATCTTCATTATACTATTTAATACGTTTACTGAATATATATATATATTTGAATTAATTAGGCATCTTTATTTAAGGCAACCAGAAAAGCCTCAAAAAAATAATTTCACTTTATAGAAGTCGTTACTAAACATGGAATTAAATAAATTTGATATTTATAAAAAATTTTGGATAATCATTGAAATATCATCAAAGTTTTAATCAATACATATATTGAATTTTGCCATTTCAGTTCAACTTGACTATTAATGTTACACGTAATTATCATCCAAGAAATTCTATGGACTCTTATCTGGTAACATCTACGTAAAAAAAGGAATTATGCTTGAATTCCTTGAGCGAAAGCCGGATAGGTCCTAACAATCTATTATTAAATTTCATAATTATTAATTGGTTTTCTGAGAGGTTCGGTTACATGATTTTGTCGACTAACTTACCGTATTATATAAATCAGGTTTAGTTCTGGCTAACGCATCCGGATTCTCGGCTAAACAGACGAACGTTGTAGCAGCTCCGCTAAAAATCACTGATCCTATAATTGATAGCATTTGGAATCCAACAATGAATGACAGAAATACTATTAGTGGAGTAAATCCTCCGCCGACATTGTAATTGGGATGAAAGATGATCGTGTATAGATATCCAAATAGAGCGGTGATCATTCCAACTAGAAATGAGCCTTAGATAAAAAATAAATTTATTTAGTGGATAATTTCAAGCGAAGAAACGAGTTACACATACAGACGGCTCTCTTTAAATGCAATTTTTTCAAATGTAGATTTAATAAGTACTCTCCAAATTCTTTCTAAAATGGTAGGATTTTTTTGCCACAAGTATGTCGAGTTATATATTTGTCCTCTCTAAATATAATATACCCTTAAATGCTTACTTTTTTGCATTTGGAGAGAGCATCGACTGTATATTATAAATAAAATATAGTAGCGCAATACCCATTATAATCACAGTGCCGATAAGGTTATCGTTAATAACGGCCTCAACGCCGCGATCCTGAATCATAGTCCAAGTATCCTATAATGTTTGTGAAAAAATAAGTTTGTAACTTATCTATGAATCATTTATGGTTGTAATGCATACCTTTGCCTTTAATATGTACAAAATGTACAGAATTTTAATTACAATTTAGTAAATATAATCAGTGGTTAATATTCATTTTGTGAAAATAATTGTGGTAGCTGAAATTTGAAAACTTTATTTGAATGTATCTACTGTTAGCAATTTTATTCCAAATCCTAACCCAAACATTAAAAAATAGGTTTCAGCTTCATCTGCCACAATAATTTTCCACGACATATTTACCGCATCACAGAATGACTTTCCGTAAATCGCTACTTGCGTATATGCGTAAAAATTGAAATATTCCTAAATAATATAGAAGAGTTATTTATACTAATCTATAAACCATTTACAAAATAAAATCTAAATTACAAACAACTTACTAATAATGCATCGATATATCCAACTAATGCGGCTGCACAAGCGGCACAGAACGCGCCTAATTTAAAATTTATTAATAAGTTTTTTGAGAAAATTCTATACTTAAAAAATGTGATATATTACCTAATGGATTGTCGGTGTCCTGAGCCAGAGATCTCAAAAGTTCACGAATAACTTGTAATATGGCAACTAACAAACTTCCAAAGCAAATACTCCCAAAGCTGGTAGTCGCTGCCCTTTTTGCACTTTTTAAGGTAGGTAAAGATGAGACACCTTGAGGAGTTCCCTCAAGAAAATAATAGGAAGCAAATACGCCAGAAGTTGTGACATGAATAAAAGTTTGAATTACTTGAGACACCCAATAGTATCTAATAAATTAACATCAATTATTTTAACTTGAGATTTATTGTTAGACATTTAAATGCACTTACGTAAATAGTAAGAATATGACAATGACAATAAATTGGCCGTCATGACAATTTGGATTTGATGCTGGCGTTCTGTGTGTTTGCTTACACGCAGCTGGATACCAGACTTGATATGCCGCTGAAAAATAAAAAAGGTTGACACGATTGTTTCACATGATCTACGCGTAGAATTTAAAAGACATTTATTTACCAATGAAAGTAAAAATCCACCATATCGTATACAAAGTGTGCACAATTAATCCAATGAAAGCTACTAAAACCATCGCTTTGTATCTATTTGTGATATTTGTTATAGTCTGCAACATGATAGAAGAAAATGGAATCATTGGCTTCCACCTATGTTGTAAATTTGTAAATTCAAATAATCTTAATAATAAATATACGTACTATATATATATATAACGATTATGAAATCTTACCAAAACCAAAATATTGTATAGAAAATAGCAACGATAGAAAACAAGATGGCAAGGCTAAAATATGCAACAATAAAGTAATAAATGGACAAACACCAGTACATCACGATAGAGACGAAAAATGTAAATTTGATAAATTGTTTTGGATATCTAGTTTCAACGTAAAGATATGTATCAATAAATTAATCAAAAATAAAAAGTATAAAGTAAAAAGAATATAAGTACTTATGTGCTAAGGCCAAGTAACCTGTACTTAACACGAATCCAATTCCAACACAAAACATTAAAAGCCAAATGGTACTCCAATTTAAAGTTACACTTTCAACGGGAGTACGAGCTTGACGTTGTATGATCGCGTAATTACTTAGAGAAACCGCGGATATAACAATGAATGCCAGAAGATTTAACATAAATAAGACAGCAGCCCCTGTCATAATAAAGGATTTAGCATTTCTCTTTCAAATAATAAAAGAAGAAAACATATATATGCATGATTTTTAATTTACATAAATCTTGATATTTTGGCCTTTGATTAAATTTGATATGAGCGCTATCACTACCACTATTCACAGCTTCTTCAAAACTTGGAGGTTGAGGATAGCTAGCTTGTGGCGTCATGTAAGATGCATGTTGAGGTTCATATGATTGTCTTTCATTATCATTATAGTAGGTTGAAGTTTTTCCTAAACCAGTATGCGTGTATGGATAAGTCGAATTAGGTGGTGTTGGAGGAGGAGGAGGGTAGTGTATTGGTTCTGGCATATGATGAAAATATTGAGACATTTTTAATTTTTTTTTTTTTAAAAAAAAAAAAAAAATTGAATTCTGATTCCTTTTATTATTTACATTTGGGCTAATATTCATTGATTGCATTATTATTAACTCATTTTTGCATCATAAATAACTGATGATGCTGTTCCGGAAATGTGCCGTATTATTTTCTGCGCGCTTTAAAGTTTCGAGAATTTCTTATTCCGCTTTGCTATCGTATTAAATACAAAAAATATTTAATTATCAAACAAGGTTTATTGCACTTAACTAAAAAAAAAAAACTGCAAAATAAAAAAGGAAAAAATTATATATATTATATATAATATATATATATATTAAAATGGTTATTTTTGATTTTGAGATACATATTTTATTTATAAAGGTTCCACGTGTTATAAGAAATCTTGTCTACTAGTGCATTATAAAGGCGATCCGATAATCTCATTTCGGCAACTTTCCCTCGTTTATCTTTTTGCACCAACAACAAAATTTTTTCAAGAAAAAAAAAAGAATGGATTCTACAGGTAATCAATACAAACTGTATTAGTAGAACGATTTAGATCAAGTTTTCTAATTTTATCGAATTATTCATATTCTCAGAATATTATTTAGAATTCGCCATAAAATTAGCCAAGCAGTGTGGGCAAATAATTCTTGATGCATCAAATGCAAGACATTCTACAAATCATAAAGTTCTCTCGAAATATGGCAATGTAACAGACTTAGTAACCGAAACAGATCAACTGGTAGAAGAATTGATTAAATCAAAGTTGAAAGAAAGTTTTCCAGAGCATAAGTTAGTTTTTATTATAAAAGGTGGGAAAGTAGCTGGATATTAATATTAAATTAATTTTGATTCAAGGTTTATTGGTGAAGAGACCAAAGCTGCTGGGTATGAATATGAATTCACAGATGACCCAACATGGATTGTTGATCCGATAGGTAAAGAATATTTCACTTTTCCTGTTGAGTAATTCATAAATAAATCTAAAATTTTATTGTTTCAGATGGAACAACAAATTTTGTTCATGGATTTCCATTCGTGGCAGTCTCTATCGGATTAACAATAAATAAAGAATCTGTTGTTGGCGTAGTGTTTAATCCGATCCTTAATGAAGTAAATTAATTCATCTCAAATTCTTTTTTCCCTTAATGTAACGTTTAAACCATGTGCGCTAAAATCAAAAAAAAAAAATTTAAAATAATCGATCCATTAAAGTTATATTCAGCTCGAAAAGGTCATGGTGCATTTCTGAATCAAACGACTAGACTTCCGCTCTCATATCCAAATCCTCCTATTCAGCTACCATCATCTCTTTCTCAGTGTTTGGTGATTACAGAATATGGCAGTGATCGATCCGACATAACCATTAGCAAAAAAGTCAATTCTGTTCATAATTTGTTGCGAAAGCCTGGTGTTGTTTCTTGGTCATCCAAAAAAGCTGGTTTAGTTAGGGGTGTTAGGAGTATTGGTAGTGCTGCTTTGAATGTTTGCCAAATTGCTCAGGGGAATGGTGACATTTTTTTTGAATTTGGATGTTGGGAATGGTTTGTATTTTAATATCATACCTTATCGGAGAGTTTATGATGTAATTGTCTGATATATATATATATATATTTTTTTTTTTTTTTTTTTTTTTTTTTTTTTTTTTTTTAAGAGTGGTTTTTGAGGCTTGGCAGATAGTGTGTAAAGAGGAGGGTGTGAGGGTGAGGACCAAGA